TCTAATCTACTAGCAATCTACTAGTAATTATACGAGACATGCAAAGATAGCTCAAAACTATCATTCTGATATTTTAAATACAATAAAACAGACCATCACATGGCATGTGTCTGTATGAATGAGTCAAACTTTTTTTTTATCCTACCGCTCCCTCCCTTTTATTTAAGTATCTAGAATGATGACAGTGAAGACAACATAGATTTTGGAAAAAAAGAAGAAGAAACTGAAAGGAAAAAGCTATTTAAATGCGTTTTCTCATTTCTTAAGTTTAGACTAAACTTATCTTCTGAAAACTTGCTAGAATTTCTAACTGACTTTTTTCTACACATATTTGCATTATACAGTGTACAGGTCAAATAAAAAGTCACAATATATCCACAAAATCTGTTTCCACCACAAGGAAAGTCTCAGTTATTACTAGCAAAAAAGGGGTCAGTGTTCTGTAATTTTTTAAGAGAAGCGATTACCCCTCAGAACTTGAGTTAAAAAAAAAAAAGTGCACAATGCTTCAAGAGTACTTACTTACAGACAATGCTACTTTATGCTCTCTTCCTTTTCTCCATGAGCTCGTATCTCTTCCAATTTTAGCTACTGCCCTTCCCCCATACTATTATATTCCCCCATGTTAAATTTCAGCGACCAGAAAAAAGGGGGACTTTGCGACACATCACTGTTTGGGAAACTATTAGAAGGTACTAGGACAGTGCTTCTTAGCATCTTCTACCTGACCAACTAAAAACACACCAAGAATTCCTTCTTTTCTTAAGCATACTGCAAAGGCTGATGCCCTGACTTTTGGGGGAAAAGGCCGTTCCCACATCTTTAAACATTACAAAACTACGTTTACAGGAATATACGAGTTTTCCCCCCTAGGCATAACTGGGGCTGTCGGCACTTGGCAGCTGAAGCTCAGTTTTTAGCCAGCGTAGCCCAAAGCAGTGTCAACATCACAAATTACCAAATGGTATGTACCAAATATTCCATCCATGAAGGAATGACTGCTTCTTTTCTCCTGTCAGGTAGAAGTACACCTCAGCCATTCTGAAATGTGCAAGGCACGTACACAAAATCAGTCACTCAATTATTCGGGCCCCATTTACTGCACAGCTATGCATGCCATCCAGGAGAAAGATGATACACTAGACTGAAGTGGCACACACTGAAATACAGTAAGAGAACTCTCATCTTCAATATGCACCAAAAGTTCACCTAAGTTATTCCCTGCACCTGTGTGATGTATATTCTTTACATCACATTTTATACCCCTCCGAAGACTCTTCTAATTACTCCAGAGAAAAGATACATTAGCTACTTCATACATTCACTTCAACAGTTGAAAAAGGCTCTAACACTTCAAGTGCCAAATCAGTTTACTTATCCAGATTAAAGCATCACAACTGTAAAGAGAACACAAGACAGCGATTCAAACTACAGTTATTAGATTATGATACTCAAACCTATATAGCCAGTGAGCAATGAGAAGTTTGCGACTAGAAGCTAACTAGCAGGCCATTTCATTTTCAGTGACTAAGGACCTCATGTAATAAAAACAGAGCAACTGAGATGTACCTTTTTAAAACAAAAAAGCAAACATTTTATATAATATGGCAATTTTTAAAACTATGCATGAAGAAATCTATAAATTTAAAATGCATAGAATTTCTTCAAGAAACCGAAAATTTAAAAAAATTCATGAACTATGTAATATACTATCATTACCGGAATCCTTAGCTCTGTTCTACTCAAAAATACTTTACACAAACTGCTTATATACAACGGGAGTTCACAAAGTAACATCAGACACAGAGTTAAAGCTCATTCTTTTCATATTATTTTGTAAATTGTAACATAAGGGGTGAACTGTGTGCAGAGTGACATTTCCTTGCCTCCATGAATTCTAGGTAAGCAAAACAAGGTATTATAGACCAAATCAAGTATGAATTATTTCATACGTACTTACAAGATGACTGGGTTTTGAGATGTTCTAATGCTTTCAGAAATTAAAGCACACTGCTCCTCTCACAGATTTTAGCTGGGCAGCGTGCTCCCACTGCATATTTTGAGTTGCGCAAATCCCTGCATTTACTCTGCGTAAACCAAGTTTTCAAATAGTATTTGTCATTTTTTCCACCTCCGTTTTATATTAGAGTTTTATATTTTCCTCAGCTTTTGGTGTTAATTTCTGGTGACTCAACACATAAATAAAATCAAGATTGAACATTCGACAGTTTGATGAACAAAAATGTTTTAAATCAAATCAAAGCATACAGCACCAATACATGGTAATAGCTTCAAATTTAGCAGTCTTACTGGCAGGTAACTCTGAGACTATAAAACTGTTAATAAAACATTATAAACAAGTATGCCTTTTACTTTATACTTGCCTTGCCCACATGCAGTCCCCAAAGCTCAAATGCCCTTTCTTAATTCAGAGACAATTCCCAGACTACAGTAGTTAACTTCTACTATTACTCCTTTACAAATGGGTTTAAACAATATAACTAACATTCACTTTTCTGTCGAAGAGATAAACCAGCCAGACAATAGTTAATATAATTTTCAAATTTGTATCAACATGACTGATGATGATAAAATAAAGCAAATTGTCCAAACAGAAGGGTCATACGTCACAATCCCGGCCGTATGTCACAATCCCTTTCTCCAGGTATAATTGAACGTATCACAAACATGCTGTATAACTGATCAGCGTATATACAGTAGGTGCAAAATATTAAGAAAGCATCAGGTCAAATAAATATCCTGGATAAGTTGTTTTCACACAGGTAAATCCCTGCCCAATTCCCACGGCTATCCAGTCACAATAAAAGCAGTGTCAAAAGAGCATTAAAACTGCTGATGCAACTCCTTGGACTCAAAACTTGCTCCCTACACATTCCCAAGCACTTCAGAGAAAAGTTAACAGCCAAGGAAAGGCAAGATGAACGTTCCCCGTTGTTTATATACCACCTAGAGGTAAAGCACTCCTCAACTTTAAAACATCAGTTCATCAAGAGCAATGAACAGTCACCAGAGAACATAAAGGACAAATGTTTCACATGGCCTTCCAGAAAACATGACTGATGCTAGCATTAGACTGCTACCCAAACTGCATATATCAACTAGCGAGAAGTTCCATTTTCCATTCTTATTAGTATCTTGAGATAATTACAGAAGCTCCAGAATACAATCCAGTTTACTCCTCCCATATTTAACAGCTTTCTTCAGAAAACCATCATCCTTTTTATTTATTCCCACTACTTCCGTGCACAAACGGATTGTTTCCTTTTAAAATCCAGAGAGTAAGTCCATTTTTACACGGCAAAGAACACACCTTTTTGACACTTCTGTGCCTTTCCTTGTATTTATTTTGATCACTACCTCCGATAGACCTGTCTTGCCTCGTTTCTTTAAATTATATTCATAATATAACTTCTACAATCAACAGAAAGAAGCAGTTATGTCATCTGAAGTGTCTTTTATTTCATTGTCTGGCTAGTATCTGAAAATATGGTTCCAAAATCGTACTACATACTTACAACATATTTCATGAACGCTCAAATTCTCCTAAGATTCTCAGTCACTCATAGTTAAGAATGAAAGGGATACTGAATCCATTTACTTCTCCTGAAGTGAGAATGTCAGAATTTAAGGTTCAAGCAACACATGGTCTTCCTGAAATTGCTTCTTCAGTAGACGTGATTAAGGGCAATTTATAAATTGTTCTGCCCCAAAGCTACTCACGTGGGGCAGTTTACTTCCAAAAGACTTGAACTTCCTTAAGTATTCCTCCAAACTATTAAATACGTTCCTAAAGTTTTAGTCAATTAACACTTTTTCCTCCCAGGCAACAGAGAAACAATCATGCCAGTTCGTACTTCTGACCGGGATTAGCTCCCACAGAAGTACTTTAATAACTACACTTTCCTCTTGATTCAGAGAATGGTTTTAAGCTTGTATCCAATACTGCAAAACATGTGGAGCCAGATGGGTCCAGAACCTATATAACTGACTTCTTATAGCTCCTCCTAGAAGCAAGCTTGCTCAGAAACATAATACAGGTAGATCTGACAAAATAGCTGCTGTATCTACAGGCTGGCAGCTAGTTCTTATCTATATAAGAACTAGTCCAAATCCAGCGGGCCCAATACTGAATCTGAGCCAAAGAGCTTTACTAGACAAAACCTGGCTTACCAAGCAGTTAACATAGATCAGCTTCAGGTGAAAAGGCAGCTACGTAGTATAGCTACAAAGTCCCTGGACAAAATGGAGACTTAACTGTATACAATAGAAAACTTCTACGTTTCTACCACTGAAATAGAATTGCTTGCATGCATTCATTAACATAACCTAAAGTTCCCGTGTCCCATATATCTTTGCATTCTCATTATTTCTCAGTCTGCTTCTACGAAGGACTGATCTAATTCCTGCAACAGATTTGAACACGAAAGTGAAATAAATAGTAAATTAACAACCATTTGGAAGCTCTTTCCTTGTTATAACAAATTATAAATTCATAACTGAACTTGAGAAATAAAAACTAAAGCAAAGCGAACACCCACTTCTCTGTCTACATAACAAATTCTATCTCCCATGTTTTTGTGTCCTATTACAGACAGTCACTTCTTTTTTAACTTCAGTGGTAACTGTTTTGAAAAAAGGAGCGGGGCGGGGGAGAAAAGAAAACGTGTCTTTTACTGTCACCATGCAACAATGAGAAAGTGTTGTTTTGAAAAAAATCTGCAAAATTAAGCTTTAAAGTAAGAAGCTGACACCACTACATTAATCTAGAACCACTGTTTACAGTTCAGTGCCTAGAAAAGTCTTTTGTGTAGAGCCTCCAATTTACCTCCAGGGATTTTTGGTTAATAAAGCATATACTGCTGACTAAATATCAGCTGACAATGACTAGTTAAAATCTTACAACTTGCAATTACTGATGCTTAAAGTAGTTCATTTTGTATCAACAATTTGCCCCCTTATTTGCTAAGCGTACATCCTACCTTCACACCAACTGCAACATCAGTGACAATGCTGTAAAAAAAGAAAAAAAACAAGAACACAAGTCAACCAATGTATCCTCATAAAACCAACTTTTCAATGTATATCAATGCCAAAATAATGAGGAATTAGAATAGCCAACAACCTCCCCAATCAAGGAAATATGTTCTAAGAACACAGCAGGACTGAGGGGAAGTACAAAAGAAACCTACAAAAGCCACTGAGCTCCCCCAGCTTATAGGCTTCTTCAAAAGAGTCCAAAGTTTCAAGTAAACATTACTCCAAAGCAGGACTGCCAGGAAATTTATTTAGGAAACTCGGGTTTCTGGACTACATGAGATCATAGGGTGAAAATAAAAGAATTTAAAAGTACAGAACTTTTCTTACACACCCCTATTAACTAGACAGGTAGTTCAGCAACATAGCCTACCCTACAGATCTTACAGCAGGAAGCAATTAATACATTTCTTGAAATTAGCTTGAACAAAAGAACACATTGGCACGTACACCTATATGAAATTTAATGAAATTTAATCAGGTACACCTATACTAAACTCTACAACAGGGATGTCGAGGTACATCTTTTTCTTAGAGGTTCTGACATCATAACTCACAGCATGTAACACAATCCCAAAAGTTCACACCAAAATAAATGGAAGCAAAACGTGAATATGTGAAAGCATTCCACAATGTAATACTCATTAATGACAAGACTTCTCAGGCAGGATTTGTAACTCCCAACATTATAATCACAACTAACCATAAAAAGCCTTTAAAACTCTCACAGTTGAAAGGTTATATGCTTAAATCAAAGCAAAGAGATTGTTTCTCTGTTGGAAGCAGAGTAAACAATTTAATAAGAAATGTGGGAGCTGGAAGATGTTGTGTTCACACTGACGAAGGCTACAACCACCAGCCTCATTTTCCAGGTCCAACAGAAAGGCGGCCTTGTGCATGGTGACTGCCCACCCCAGCTCCCGGCCAGGAGCGAGGGCCCTCGCTGTCCCGGGTGGCTTACTCCTTCAAAACCTTCCCTTCTTTGGCTTTTACAGGCACTCTCCAGCATACACAAAGGCATCTTTCTACCTGGGGACGGGGGGGGATGCCAGAGGGCTTATTAGGCAGTTTCTGAAAACAAAAGAGCTCGACATCTGGCTCCTGCTGGTATCGCTCCTCCCCTCCAGCCAGCTCCAAAACAAACCCGAGCCCTACGGAGCGCCC